CGCTTTCTCTATGCTATTTTTCAAACTTGACATCTTCTGACTATCACTCTATAATCTTTCGTTCTTCATAAAAACACTTATTCTTGGCCTGCGAAGCGGGTTATGGTGCTCTTTAGTGAGCTGAAATCATCTTTGCAGACCTTAGTGTGTTGCCTTTATTTGGCAATTAGCTGGAGAAGGATAAACCACAATACCAACTACAAGTCGGTTCAAATGCATGAAATAGTTGTAACCGTTTAATGTATAAATGCACAATCTAAAACCCAGTGCAAAAAATGCTATCTTGCTAAATGATATCTTTCTAGCATGACTTCTTTAGGCTGTCACTCAAATAATCTTTGTTCTTTCTAAACTCAATAACTCTTGGTAAGTCAAAGTGGGTTGTGATGCTCTTTAGTAATCAGAATTTGTCTTTACTGACCTTGGTATGTGGCCTCTATATGGCAATTAGCCATAGGTGGAAAAATCACAACACCAACTACCTTTGGGTAGGTCTAGTTGCTGTGAGGAAACAGGTGTTGTCACTCTAGCTTTTATTATCTTTATATTTGTTTTTGAGTGAATCTTCTAGGGCCGAAGCGATATCTTGTTCTCGCTAAGCGCAACTGTTGAAATCCAATAATAAAACAAAAAAAATTTATTTAGACGTTGTTATCCATTTATTTGAACTAAAAAATAATAATAATTTTTACAGCTATTATACGTCTCTTAAGAAAAATGCTTTTATTAATAAGATAAATTAACGTTTTAAGTGTGGTGAGTGTTCAAAAAAAAAATGATATAAAAGATATTGTTCATCATAAGAATGCACCTTTATAATCAATATATTAGTGCCGGATCAAGGAAGACTAGGGGAAGCTATAGCTCCGGGCCCCGCAAATTTAGGGGCTCCCAAAAACTTTAGAAGACCTTTTTTTTTTATTCAGTTTTAGGCTCTGGCCCATATAAAGGCCTCTAAAAACAAAAATAGCCCTGAGCCCCAAGAAGTCTTAATCCTCCACTGCAATATATACATAAATAATATATATATATATATATATATATATATATATATATATATATATATATATATATATATATATATATATATATATATATATATATATATATATATATATATATATATATATATATGTATTATATATATATATATATATATATATATATATATATATATATATATATATATATATATATATATATATATATATATATATATATATATATATATATATATATGGCTGAAGATTGCCGATAGGCATGAAACTTTTAGTTCCATTATAAAGTTGTATTTTTCTATGTAATTACACTTTATTTATATATATATTGATCTATTTTGTAAAAATTATTTTTACATTATATTGATCACTCTCAAGTAAACAAGAGGATTTGTATCTCAACCAGATACAATAATAAACAACAATATATATATATATATATATATATATATATATATATATATATATATATATATATATATATATATATATATATATATATATATATATATATATATATATATATATATATTAAGGCGGGTCAAAGTTATACTTTTTTTTAAATTTTGACAAGCAGCACTATGTTGAGTTTTTAAATTGGTATAATAAACTATGTAGACTGAATTTATTTTTTTTACACACACCCCTAGGGGTTGCACCACGCACCCTAATTTTACCACACAAAAAAATTTTCTAAAAAATTTTCTAAAAAAAAAAATTTTTTTTGTTATGTTTCGGAGTATACATTCTTTTAATAAAAGAACTTAAAGCAAAATAAAAAAATCGTTCCTCAATTTCAGAATTATTAACTTCATGCCTTAAATAAAGTTTTAAAAAGAGATATGACATGTCAGCATAAAAACTTTTGCTACGCTACTATGTAATTTTTTAGTTTATTCTATTTGTTGCATTTTAGTCTCTATACATTGTATATTTAGTGTTTGTGTAGATATTTGTCTACTTTTCAGTTTTAGTAATTAAAAGTAAAATACAACTTATAATAAGCAACACATTGTATCTTGGCAACATTTCATACTTGCAGAAAACTGACAACTTAGCATTTGGACAAGGTTCTAAATTTCCAAATGCTTTGATTCTTACAAAAAGAGATATTGTAAAATATTGCTACTATGCTACTAAATTGAAAGCTTTTGACAACATGTTTGATATGATATTGTAATATTATGTAATATTAAAGTGCCAATAAAAGAGTGGGGTGCGTTTGTTGGGCAAAAGATATACACAAATCAATTTGGGCTACTTGATTGTGCCTACACATCTACTTTAAAGAAAACTGAAACTAGAAATAAAAAATTAGTAACAAGGCAAAAACAGTTAAATACGCATAAAAATGTCGAGAAAGACATTAGTAGACAAATTACCGATGACCATTTCTATGAACCTGAAGATGATATTATACAAGATGAATCTAATAATGAATGTGACAAGCCATATGACTCTAATGTCATTAAAAAATGTAATCAAAATAGGTTTCATTACAATAAACTAGCAATCATAGCAGATCGTTATCGTGTCAGTTGCAGAGCAACTGCTGTAATTGTCAATTCTGCTCTTAAAGACATGGGTATACTAAATGAATCAAATATGCTTGATAGGAAAAAAAGTAGAAAGAGAAAGACTTCGTGTTGTTCAAAAAAATTTAAATGAGAGGAAATGCGAAAACTTGAATTTACAATGTATTGGTTTTGATGGATCAAAAGACAATACAATAACAACTGCAGGAATAATTAAAAAATAGCATATAACAATTGTTAGAGATCCAAGCAGTAGCTATATAAATCATCTAACACCTGATAATGGAACTTCTCGCTGCATTGCTAATGAAATTCTCCATTTAATATTTGAAACTGGCAGCAGCGGTTCTTTAAATGCTTTCTTATGTGATGCAACTGTAGCAAATACTGGAAAATTTGGAGGGGTGATAAAATTAATTGAAACAGAACTCGAAAGACAAAGGCAGTGGCTCATTTTTCAATTATATTTAAAAAAACTTCTCCTTAAACATGAATTTGAATTGATTGATGGAAAAACCTTTGGCCCTGGATCATTTAATGGAGAAATTGGTAAAAAAATAACAGAGGATTTACCTTACTTGGCAGTAGTTCTTTTCAAAAAAATCAATGGTTCTTTTCATTTAATTCCAGATAATATTTTTATTGAATTAAGTTCAGATCAAAATTATTTTTACTGCATCTGTTTATATTTTCAATCAGGAGATGTTTCAAATGAAATAACTAAAAATTCTCCCGGAAACATTCATCATGCCCGGTGGCTCACAAAAGCAAATCATATTCTACGCTTATACATTTCTACAAAAAAGCCAACAAAAGAACTTATTGACTTGTTTATAATAAGTTATCTTGTCAATTGATAATATCTTTTGAGTTCTTTTGAGTTTATACCTTTTAAAAAGGTGTGTGATTTCTGAATATATTGTTTTATTTTGAAATATTTAGTTTTATATATATTCTTTATGTTGTTAAACGTTATTTTATGTTTTGAAATATCTGGTTAGATTTAAATTTTTTTTCTAAACGTCATTTATTGTAATTAATTAACTGGTTATATTTTTACTACATTGTTAAACGGTTCTCAGTGACAGGATCTTACGATCCTCTTTGAGTCTCCGTGTTCTGATATTTAACGTACAACGATATTTATACCATAGTATATTGTAATAAAAACAATAAAAAAAAATAATCCAATGCTGCACCAGCATGGTTCCAAATCAAATCAAATTATTGGGCAAATATAATGGTAATGGAGCAAATTTTGAAGCAAAACTTGCTCCATTACCATTATATTTGTATGTACAAATATAATTATATATATATATATATATATATATATATATATATATATATATATATATATATATATATATATATATATATATATATATATATATATTATATATATATATAATTATATTTGTATAGTTTAGCACCTGCGGGGACAGATTTTTTACAAAAAAATCGAACACTTACGGGGATATTAGCATTATCGGGGACATTTTTGTGTACCCGTTAATTTTTTGTCCCCGTAAGTATGATTTTTTTGTAAAAAAATGTACCCGTAAGAAACTTTTATAAAGAACGAAAAATACATATATCAACTGACTAATGGCCTGACGCGCAACGCAGTGTTGCAACGTCGACTAAGGGTTTGGTTTGGTCAGGCATCAAGGTCAGCCTTAGGGTTAGGGTTACGGCAAGATTTATATTTGGTTATATTATTGTAATAAATCGTTTTTGTAAATATATAGAGTTAAAAGTGAAATATATTTAGATATACAAATACAGCTCTGTCTTAATTTAAATCATTTCAATTTACTTTAATATATCGAGCACTCTCATGAAGATATATGCAAGCACTAATACGTATATATATATATATATATATATATATATATATATATATATATATATATATATATATATATATATATATATATATATATATATATATATATATATATATATGACTTACTGTTGTTTATTGAAAGTTGTTCTTGTGCATGTTTTGCAAGTTGTAAGAATAAATCAGGTTAATTCTTGTACTTTTAAACACTTTTAAATACTTTTAAACAATAATTTTTTAAATACACATGATTTTTGGTATTATTTGTTAACTTTATATTGTCTTATAAAGGAAACAATAGTACAAAAACCGTATATGAACTTAAATATATATTTACGTAATTAATTTAATGTATAGGAACTGTGTAAGTGCTGTCTAATTGTTGCACAAATCTATGCTAAGTAAAAAACATCAGAAAAAAATTTCATTGTCATATTTTGTTTTTTTGTACATATTAAATAAAATAAAATGCAATTAAATATAACGTTAAAAAATAGCATTGAAAATAACATAAAGTTTTACAAATGTTTTTTAAACTAGTTATTATTTTAAACTAGAAGTATAAAGAATATTGCAGAATAAAATCTGCTGAATGAAGTCTACAGAATGAAATCAACTGAATGCAGTATTCAGAATAAAATCTGAAAAACCAGATCTACAATAAAAAATTGACAGAATAAAAATTAATTAATTAGTTGTTTGGAAAGTTAACTTTTAGATTTCATTTGGATCTATCAAAGTGTGCCATTCTGAATGAGGTTGATAGGGAGAATTTTGCACGATTTGCCAATGAGTTACAGCAGTTTTTTGTGGTGAAAACAAACTAAATATCACGTGACCAATAACACGATTTTTACCCAGGAAACTTAAATCATTAACTGTAACAACCATTGTATAAACTGAAAGTGGATTCGAGACGTCTGTACTAATATCAAATTCTATTGATTCATTAAATATAGGATCGCGCATATTGTACTTCTTTGATGTATTTTTCATTTCGAGTGTTTCTTCTCGAAATAATGAAACGGTGACATAAGGATCTAAAATTCAAAATTTCTTATAAGTATAAAAAACATTTTATTAAAAGCGATGCTTTTTTTAATATAATTTACATTTCATAATTTTTCATAATAACTATATTTGTTCAAAAATACTTGGAAACTTTTTTTTAATTTTAAATAATTGTTTAAATTTACTTGAAAACTTTGGCAAACTTTTTGCTTGAATTATAATCACATTGAGCTTGGATATTGTAGCTTGATGACATAAAGAAATGTTTATAGATCCCAAAGATGCCTAGAAATCAGAAAGAAATCAGGTTTTAAAATAACCCAATGTTATTAAAACGCAATTTTTGCAATAAATTTTTTCTAATATTATTATTTCATTAACATTCGGCTGTATGTGTTGGGAAGAGGCGGGTTTCAAATCACAGACAAACGAAGTCAACGCCTTATTCAAATATGCTAAACGTGTGTAAAAATTGGAAAACAATATTTTTCTACCCATATAATAAGTAAACTTAATTAAAATTAAATAAATTAATTGACTTATTACAAAACTAGTTATTGAATTTTGTATTGTTATCAAGCAAGAGTAGGTATGCAAATTTTGAAGAAAATCTAACATCAAGAAGTGACTCAAAAAATAATTGCAAGATTTGATGTTAACAGATTGATTAACAGACAGAGACGAATTAATAAAAGCATTGGGAAAAGATATAAAAATATTTAAAAAAATTAGAAATATTAAAAAAATCAAATTGGTATTAATTTATGTTTAAAAAATAAAGAACGTCTTACCTTGGACTTAAAATGCCAAAAAAGATCAAAAGATATATTGGATTCTTCACTCGAAAAACAAAGATCGGTTATGGGTATTTGTGCTTCTCCAATAACTTCGTTTTGAAATTTTTTTATCTTGTTATATTTTTTTATCTTTATTTCTAACATATAACTATTTAATTGTGTTACATTTATATTGTAAAAAAAAAATTGTTCGTTGAAGTTGAACTCACTGCAATCTTTTACGCGTTTTGAAGTTTGTGTTTGCATTTTTTCTGGCATTAAACTCAGAAGAACAAAAAAACTATGGCAACAGTTTTGCTTTTTGTTATTAAAATACGTTACTTGAGAAATCCATACTTCTAAAGTATTAGTACTACTCAGAAATTTAGTTTTCATTGCTATTGTTCCAATTTTTTTTTTTTTTAATAAACGAGTTTGGTTGTTCCTACGATTTGAAGCAATTCTTTTTTTAATACCATGTAGATGTTTTTTGTTACATTCAACGCTAGTGGCGGAAAAATTTGACCATGATTGATCACTATCGCTGAGTAAACTATCTGTCGAAATGTATTCTACATCATTGTCGAGTGAATCATTTTCACAAGGCGAATTATCTTTGTCGTCTTTGCTTTGTTCTGAATGTGAACGGAGATCAGAGTTGCGTACTAAAATAAACATAAATTGAAAAAACTGTTTGTTTTTTTTTGTTATTTTGATTTTCATGAAAGTAAATCGATGGAAAATTTGTAAAAAAAGGAAAACTTTTATTTTACTTAATGTCATTTTTAACACAGTTTTCAATTTAGTTGAGCATTATTTTTAATTTATGTTTTTAACTTTTACAAAGAGAATAAACTTATTATTTTATCTTGAATATTGATTTAAATATATTTAAAACGTAAAAAAAAAAATTAAAAAAAACTAAAATTTTTTTTTTATAAATTGATCAGAACTTTAACTTTTTAAGAACTTTTTATTTAAAATGGCGTATAATTTTTTTAATTTTTTTTTTTAATTTAATCTACAACGAAAAAATCTGTGAAGCTAGGAAAGCAACCAATCCCTGCTATGGTAGATTAAGTATAGCGAATTACCAAACAAAAATAAAAAAGAAATAAAAGTATCGGCACATTGAGTTAATAACATTCCCATGCAAGAAATAGAAGTAACAATCATACAGTTTTTTTTTGAAAGTGAGCAAAAAAATATGTCAAGCTTATTTTTGAAAGTGTTAATGTTGACAATATCTGGTACATTTCTATCGAAGGTAATGATATCTGGTGGTAGCACATTCCAATTAACTTCCACACGGTTACATGAAAAACTTTTGCGAGCTACATACTTAATAATTCTTGGTGCCCGAATGCGTTGGGGAACACCCTGAAGACCACCGGCTGGTCCAGGTTGCGCAGGTGCAGCAACAGGAGATGGTGATTCAATCCATTTAACTTTGCCTATGCCGTAATAAATCTTAGTATGGAATAAGATCACTTTGGCGCCTTCGATTTTCAAGTGATTGGATACCAATAGCTAAACAGTGTTCCTTGGCTTTCATGGTTCGCAGATTTATTACAAGTTTTGTGGCTCGATTTTGAACAGCTTGGTGGTACCCCCAAGAAATAAAAGTAAATTTTGAAAAAAAAAAGTTTAAATTTGGTTCATTATTTCTTGGTTAACAGAATACAAAAACGTTTAATGCAAAATTTTAACTTTGAGTAATAATAGTTTGGGTTTATTTATCAACCAAGTAGTTTGTAACCATAACAACCAAGTAGTTTGTAATGTCCATAACAACCAAGTAGTTTGTAATGTCCATAACAACGCCATAGCAAACAATATATAATATATAGTTTGTGCAATAGTTACTTTTTAAATAATTATGCAAAAGTGCTGAAACTTTCACAAATTTCTTTTTTATATTATTAAAATTCATTTGAAAAAAGATTTTTGTTCAATGCAATTTTAGATCTTGAAATTTTGTTTTTTTAGTGTTGTTAAACTCGCCTTCTTTTTAGTGTTTCATGCATAATTTCTTAAATAATTATTTGTTTTCATTTATTTTCTCTCAAATGAATTATGTTACCATGAATAAAAAATGCTCCAAATTTCATGCTAAAATGACCAGTAAATTTTGAGTAATTACTTCACAAATATTCAATTGTTTTTAATTTTTTGGGGTAATCGAGGTAAAGATTTTCAAGTTTGCTAGCATTTTTAAAAATTATTTTAAATTATGTATTTATATTGTAAAAATGAAACTGTGCTCTAGTTCCTATTAGATTTTAGTTTATTTCTCGGGGTATTACAGGGTATTACAGGGTACCACCTTGATAAAGTTAGTCACTCGCTACTTCCTAAAAAAGTTCGTGCGTATGGTTTTGAGCTTTTATATTTTCAATTGAAAAGAGTCCCCATCCTGTTTAGCAATATTCCAAATGAGGCATTACATAAGAGCAGTAAAGGATGCGAAACATTTCAAGAGTCCGATGTTTGAAAGTGCGTCTAAGAATTCCAAGAACAGTATATGAATTTGAAATAGTTTTTGCTATTTGATCGTTCCACGAAAACCGATTGTGAACAACAACACCAAGATTACGTTCAGAGATGGTTTCTTTAAGAATGTGAGAAAAGCCAGTTTTGTTAGTTATTGTTAATTGGAAGCAGGGATCGTTAAATTTATCATCAACAAAAGTTTTGTTGTTTAATTGTTGTGTGCGACGATGCTTGTTAAAAATCATATAGGTGCTTTTTTCTAAATTAAAGCTTTTTTTTTTTTTTATTTAGTATTTATTTGCTGTTTATATAATAAGAAATATAATCACAAAGAAGCGTTTACATACAAAAAAAGTGAATTTATAAAAAACAGGCAGGGGCTCAAAGAAGATACGGATGACTAAAGTCACCACAATTTTTTCATAGAGCCCCCCTAGGTGGGCTTTACAAGTTAAAAAAAAAGTATCTCCGATATTATAAAAAGGTGAAAGCTTGCATAAATATTTCCATTAAATCAAGAAAGTAAATAACATCATATAGTTTTATCAATATTCATTAAAATATATTGGCAACTCTGTTAAATATCAAAATAAGAGCCAATTAACAAGTAAAAAAACTAAGAATAATGGAACTCGATTTTCATTTCAAAAAATCAAGAAAAATATTTATCTAATTTAAAAATTTTATTTTTTATTATAAACTTAAAGGAATTTAATGATTTTACAGTATTCAAATTTTTTGTTTTTTGAAAAGTGTTCTATAGTTTTGGTCCGCGGTATGATATTCCATATTCAGAATACTTACCATTAATTGTTGCTAATTTATAAGTATTCCATTGGTTTAATTCTAAGAGAATATTTTTTGTTTGCATTTTTTGTAAATTTATCATTAAAGTTTTTTGGAATCAAGCTGTTGTTACATTTATACATTAAAATTAGGTGTTGGTAAATGTTGATTTCATATATATTCATCATTTTCATGTCTTCCATTACTGGTTTTGCATGTTCATATTTATATATATATATATATATATATATATATATATATATATATATATATATATATATATATATATATATATATATATATATATATATATATATATATATATATATATATATATATATATATATATATATATATATATATATATATATATATATATATATATATATATATATATATATATATATATATATATATAAGTCTGCATGCATGTTTTTGTAAAGAAAATATTTTTATAAGTTTTGTTGGTTGAGTACTAGCCCATGAGATATTGGCATAGTATATGAAACAATGTGTTAGGCCAAAATATACTAATTTCAGACTTTCTGATGTTACGTATGGACAAATACGATACATCAGACCAATTGTTTTACTATCTTTTGATTGAATATAATTAATATAGGGAAGCCATGATAAATTTTCATCAATAAGAGTTCCCAAGAATTTTATTGAATCGATTTTACTAATTAGCGCATCATTTAAAATCAATTCAGGTAATTTTAAAGGAAGTTTTTCATCTTGTGACTTTTTATGAAATAAAATATATTTTGTTTTATCTACATTGAGTGAAAGTTTATTTGCCTTAAACCATTCATCTACATTTATTAGTTCAGAGTTCATGTCAGAAAACAGTTGATTAATGTTTGAAATGAAGAGATTTGTGTCGTCAGCAAACATTATTGTGTTAAGCTTAGGTGAAGCATTATTAAAATCATTTACATAGATCAAGAAAAGCAATGGACCAAGAATTGACCCTTGTGAAACTCCACATAAAATATTAAGTTGATCTGATTCCTTAACTATAACATATTGTTTTCTTTCAGTGAGGTAGCTTTTTAACTAATCATGGGTTTTATTTATCACTCCGTAGTGTTTTATTTTTTCCAAAAGAATTAGGTGATTAACCGTATCAATTGCTTTTGATAGGTCAATAAATAATCCTAGAGTGAAGCTATTATTTTCAAATCATTTAGTGATTTGGTCTACTATTTCATTTATTGCGTGTTCTGTTAAATGTTTTTTCCGAAAACCAAACTTTTTTTGTGTAAAATAAATTATTTTCAATAAAACGGTTATAGATTCTATTATAAATTACACGTTAAAATATTTTTGAAAATACAGAAAGTACTGATACAGGTCTTTAATTAGTGATTTCAGATTGATCATTATTTTTGTAAATTGGACATTTTTGTCAACTTTAATGCTTCAGGAAAAATTCCTTTATTTATTGAAAGTTTTATAATTGGAAACAAAGATTTTGAGATAAATTTTTTGTTTGAAATAACTATATTACTAGAAACATCATGGAAACCAGGTGATTTATTCTTTTTTAAAAAAAGAAAAAGCAATTTCATACTCTTCATGAGAAAAGTCGCGATCTTGCAATATCGCGCCATTTAAAGATTTAAGATATTTTTGAAAAGAATTTGGTGTAGTTATGATTTTTTAGCAAGGTTAGGGCCAATGTTTGTAAAATATTTATTTAACTCATTCGTGATTGGTAATGGACAATAGATATCAGTTTTATTGATATTCTTTGAGGTAGTATAGCCGTATTTATTTTCTTTCTTCCCATTATATCGTTAATTAAATCCCATACTTTTTTCGCATCGAATTTGTTTTTTGTAAGTTCTTTACTATAATATGTTTTTTTAGCTTTCTTCGAAAGATTTTCGTAAAAGCGTTTATATTTTTTGTAACTTTTTTCATTAACTTCAGTTCTGTATTTTAAAAATTTATTGTAAAGTTTTTGTTTATTTCTTGAACATTTTATAAGAGTTTTATCCATCCAAGGATTCAGTATTGTTTTTTTTTATCAGTTATTTTAAATTCATACGGGCACGTTTCGTTATAAATGTCAAGAAATGTGTTTAAGAAAATATTAAATGCTTTATTTGTATTATCACAATTAAAAACTTGATTCCACGTCTCTTTCTTTAGTTTATCAGAAAGATTATTCTTATTAACTTCTGATAGGTTGCGTTTTTTTAGAGTTGTAACTTTGGGATCCCCGTTGGATGGGACTTTCAAAGGATTTATTTTAATGTATATTAAGAAGTGATCACTTATATTAGTTTTAAAAATACCTGTCTCAAATGACGCTTCTATATAATTGTTAATAAAGATATTATCGATTGCAGTTGCCAAACGTTTAGTTACCCTAGTT